TCTTTGATAACTGGAAATATCAATGTTGAAGCCCTAACTTTTCCCCATTTTCTATACTTGAGGAAAGTTTCTAATTCGTGGTTGGGAAACTGAGATATGTCAGCATTCTTTAAAAGAGAAATAGATTTAGTATCCATAGATGACCTTGAAATGGAGACCTTAAAAGTTCCTTCAAAGTTTTGTTGTTGATTTTGCTAATACAGTCACAACTGCAGTAATCTTTGATACATGCCCCACAGGCTCCAGAAAATAAGTCACCTTCCGTTCTCAGGCACATTCTGAGAATGGCGTCAAGTCCTGCAGTGATATCATTGCTTTGTTTTTACCTTGGCGATGTAGGGAGCTTGACTGCTGGGTCAGAAGCCCTGTGTTACTATCTGTTTTCCTCTTCAGGCTCCCGGAGAGAAAGGTGTGGGTACCGCGTGGTGCGGAGACAGAGAAGTTCTGATGAGCAGCTGCACTGCCTGAGCAAAGCCAAGAAGAGTGGTGGCCACGTGCCCCGAGTGAAGGAGCTGCTGCTGAACGCCCTGAGCCCGGAGCAGCTGGTGCTCACGCTCCTGGAGGCAGAGCCGCCCAACGTGCTGGTGAGCCGCCCTAGCTCGCCCTTCACCGAGGCCTCCATGATGATGTCCTTGACCAAGCTGGCCGACAAGGAACTGGTACACATGATCAACTGGGCCAAGAAAATTCCTGGTAGGGCTTCCTGGGTATTTGCCTTCTCTTTATTTGTAGAAAGGCCTCCTCCTAATATTTAAGGGGCAAGGATACAACGTGGAGGTCTATAAAATATGCCTAGATATTTAACAGTTTGACAGCTTTATTTATTTATTTTTTTGTTGAGATAGAGTCTCACTCTCTCACTCTGGGTAGAGTGCAGTGGCATTATCATAGCTCACAGCAACCTCCAACTTCTGGGCTCAAGCAATCCTCCTGCCTCAGTCTCCAGAGTAGCTGGGACTATAGGTGCGTGCCACAACACCTGACTGATTTTTTTCTTTTTGATAGAGATAGGGTCTCTTGCTCAGGCTGGTTTTGAACTCCTGAGCCCAAGCAGTCCTCTCGCCTGGCCTCCCAGAGTGCTAGGATGACAGGTGTGAGCCACCACGCCCAGCCTGACAACTTGATTTATAATTTCTGAAGGAAATATGTTCTTTCCTCCTCTCTTGACATACATGCCTTCAACAAGGCCAGGTTCTGATCTAGAATTCTTGAACTCCTGTGAGCTCTATACCAGATGTGAAAGTGCGGGAAGAGCTGGACACAACCTGGCCATTTCTATTCTTGACTCCCTTCTTTTTCCACCCCCAGATCCATCCCACACTGTCCTGCACACACCCTATCCTGTCTGCATCCTCTACAGATTTGTCTATTGGCCACCTCACATGCTTAGAGGTGATCTGGGAGGATGGACCCAGGGAGGAAACTCACTCAGGCTCTGGAATTGAACTTGGAGTCATTTGGGCAAGAAATTCTAGAGGGACCTGGAACAGAGTTAAAAGGAAGGAATATGGGGTCCACACTGACCTGTCTCTTGGCTGTGTATCCCTCACCTTGAGAGGAGGCGTGTGGTCAGGTGGGAGTAGGGTGGGGTACAGTGTGACTAATGTGAAAGTGAAAGTTTTGTCAGATGCTGAATAGTATTTTGTAAAATATTGTTCCAATAGAGAATCAGTATTGTGTATATAAATATATGTGGACAAATAGAGCAAATTAGCAGTTGACATAACATGAAGCATCAATGAGCCAATAAACCTAGATGCCATCAAGTTAGAAATGGGCTTAGTTACTCATGAGTTAGCATTTGGAACGTGCATTTTGCATCCTGTAAGGTGGTCACTTCCCTAGGCCCATTTGTATTAATAATATATACCTGAAGTACTACATTGTGCTTATTACCAACTAATTATCCTTTGAATTGGTGTTTCTGTGGAGAAGCGAATCTAGGATTCTAAGCTAGAATAGCAACACTTCCCGCACTGCCAAAAAAGCTTCTGCATGCAATTCCTTACAGTTGTCTAAGAAATGAGATCTCTCCAGGTTCTGAAGCCCTGCAGGTTCCCACGGCCTGGGGGCAGCACCTGCCTTGGGCAAACTGTAGAGGTTAGGAGGGGTGGGATGCTGAGGGAGGAGGAGTTGGGGGTGCAGAGTTGGGGAACCAAGGCCCCGGGTGATGGTGTCTTTTGGGGTCATTTGTTGGCCTCGGTCCATTCCTTTGAAGCTTCCTGAGGATTTTCTGGTTTCTGGTTTGGTTTGGTTTTGTTTAGTGTCTTTGCCTTTGCCAGCGTTGTTTCCCAGAGGAGACAATACTGATGCACTGTCCTCTAGTTTTTACTTTAAATGTGTTTCAAACACTATTTTGCAGGACTATGTGTGGAGAGTGGTGGTAAAATTAACTACTGCTGACAGCTGTGCGGCTTCTCTGTGCCATAACACGGCTGAACTCTGAAGTCACATGAGCCCCTCTTTGGGCCTGGTATTTTGCAAGATTTTCAAAAAACTTAGACATAGGCTGAAGATGTGATTTCTTTTTTCCCCTATTTCAGCTGACATAGTCATTGTCCAAACAAAAAAAAATACTAAAATGTCATCATATAGCTTTGATCTTGTTGAATATCTACAAGAATAAAAAGCTTGATCTTTCTCGTGTAGGCTTATTGTCTATAACCGTGGGTGAGATTGGAAGGTGTGTACATACCAGGAACCTGAACTAAGCATAGCCTGTGGCTTTGGAAAGTGTCTGTCTTTACATTCATTATTGCAGTAACTTATCCTTTATGCAGATTTACATTATAATTCAAAGACTTGAGCCACATGTGTTCTCGGTGCCATAGTTTCCTCATCTGTAAAAAGGATGATAAGCAATTCTATTTTTAGGAGATTCTCAGAGGTAGAAATTATTACTCCTGTTTTTCCTGTAAGAATACAAAGACTTAAAAGGAAATTAATAACCAGGTAGGAAGAGACCAATGGGGTCCAACCAGAACCCATGTCACTCCAAGGCTGAGCCTTTTGTTCCTGTATTTATATTACACTGACCCCTCCTTTTATCACAGCTTGTAGAAGAAGTTCCAGTGTTGTGTCTGCTTAGTTTTTGAAGTACTCACCTCCCCAGAGGTTGATTATCTGTTTCTTTCCAGTTCTGTGAACAACACATGCTATTAGGTTATTGGGACTTGCTTTGGTTGGTATATTTACTCTTTGGGATGGAATCGCCTAGAAGCAACGCTTCTACTCAAAAGAATGATCCTAACACTGAATGGGAAATTTTAAGCAATCAGGGAGCCCATTTCAGTCGAAGCCTTGACTTTCGGCAGGGGCTGGCACTGCTTTCTGAATGCCCCCCACCCCCCCCAGCTTCCACCTACCTCATTCCCCCATCCCTCCTGGGCCCCATCGTGGGTTGGGTGAGACAGACAGCCCCTCTGACTGGCAGCGGAGCATTTCTCAGCAGTGCGGAGGAATTATTAGGATATAGCTAACAAAGATCGATTCTGGCTTTCTGTTCTTCTCCAGCATCTGCCTGGGGAACTGAAGGAGCCCAGTTAATAGTGCTTCATAAATTCTAAATGACATATGTTTGTCTCTAGAAGGGGCCCTAGGTTGGAAACCGTGAGTTGCACAACTTAAGTTCAAAATTTTCTTCCTTTAACCAGCATTTAATCTCATCTTTAAAATATATTGTTTGTGTTTTCTTAGCATTTTAAAACTGGCCATTCTGTCTTTACAGAAACGGGGAGCTGAGGAGCAGGGTGGGTGTGTCTCACAGCCTCTTGCTTTCTGTAGGCTTCGTGGAGCTCAGCCTGTTCGACCAAGTGCGGCTCTTGGAAAGCTGCTGGATGGAGGTGTTAATGGTGGGGCTGATGTGGCGCTCAATTGACCACCCCGGCAAGCTCATCTTTGCTCCAGACCTCGTTCTGGACAGGTAAGAAAAAAAATACATTGTGTTTCTTCTCCAACTTGTTAGAGTGAGGGCTTAGTGAGTGGGAACAAACTCCTGGGTGCCGCCATTAAAATCTCACATCTGAAGGGCAATTAAAGAATGAAAATGTCATCAGTTCCTTCACTGGGTCAAGAACCAGAGGAGAGAGCATGGGTACAAGGATTCAACATCCCGTAACTCATTTTTAATCTGTGATACAGCAGCATGTACATGCCAGGGCCATGATGGGACTTCATCCTGCAGGGTCTATGGCCACTAAGTATACAAGTCAGCATAGACTTTTCCATTCTCAGGTTATATTCTTAAATTGTCCTGCTGTTTTTTCCACCTATAGGGACTGATTATTTCTTGAGCTATTAATATCTGGGCAGGTGATAAAATTCTTACAAATCTGCCAAGTTTATTTTCATGTGCTTTAACTCGCCCCAATGCATGTACTATATAGCATATTTGGCAATAGGAGTAGAAGGAGTGGTTATCAAAACCAAATGGAAATTAACAGAAATTGGAACACAATGGTGCTGATGCCATAACTTGGTTGCATTTAGTTTTCTTTTAAAGAGGACACAGAAAAGGAACCAGTTTTTTTTGAGAAAGAGTCTCACTGTGTTGCCCGGGCTAGAGTGCCGTGGCGTCATCCTAGCTCACAGCAACTTCAAACTCCTGGGCTCAAGCGATCCTCCTGCCTCAGCCTTCTGAGTAGCTGGGACTACAGGCATGCGCCACCATGCCCGGCTAATTTTTTGTATATATTTTTAGTTGTATATATTTTTAGTTGTCCAATTAATTTCTTTCTAATTTTAGTAGAGATGGGATCTCACTCTTGCTCAGGCTGGTTTCGAACTCCTGAGCTCAAACAATCCGCCCGCCTCGGCCTCCCAGAGAGCTAGGATTACAGGCGTGAGCCACCGCGCCCGGCCAGGAACCAGTTTTTAATTGACTTAGGTGAACTCTTTGTGGAGGCAAAGCTGGAATATACAGCTGTCAGGCTTTTTAGCAAGAGAAGCAGAATACTCTGTTGGTGTGAATTTGAACAGCTTGGAAATCTCCATGGAAGGTGATTTCCATGCCCCTTGCATTGACAAAATGCCAGTGTTGAATGTTCACCCACATCAGACCTTGTGCACAGAGTGGGAGGATGCCTAGTACTATTAGTGGAAAGTTCCAGCCCCAACTCTTGCATTACAATCCAGTTAGCACTTTAGATCACCAGAAGACCCCAGGTACACCTTATGTAGGTGGAGAGTGAAACCCCAAGGTATCAGTGCCCATTCTGCCTGTTGTCATGGATAACAATATTGACAAAGAGCACTGTTCTGAGTAATGGAGGTGTTTTGGACAGAGCCTTTGGGAAGACCCAGAGCATGGGGAGCATGGCATGTGGCTCAAGCAGGAGCAAGCCCAGGTGGTGAATCGTAGACGGAGGCTCTGGAAGCTCAGAGCAGTGCAGGGCATCACATCCATTAATAACAATCAAAATTGCCAATTTATTGGCTTGTGTGCACTTGACATATGTTGACTCATTTAATCTTCCCAATGGTCCTTTATGGATAAGCACCATTTATCATCCCTATCCTTCAGATGTGGAAATGGGAGGTTAAGTAACCTGCCTACAGTTACAGAGTAGGAAGTGGTGGAGCTGGTCTTGAGGGTCTATCTGTAAAGTCCACACTCCTATGGACAGCAGTACACTGCCTCTTAGCGGGATAGAGAACTGGAAGGGGACAGAGGAGGCCAAACTATCTATCTGCTTTATGCTTTCATCTTAGAGCAGCCCTATTCTACTCTCTGCCCACTGCAGAAACCCACTCCTGCTGTCCTCTTGGGTACCATGTTGCACGGCAAGCTGAAAAGCCAACTACCCAGCCAGTCCATCACTCCCATTCATTCATCTATTATTTTCCACTTATGTCACTTATACATACCTATAAATATATGCATATAATTCTCCTAGAAGATATTGCTAGGAAGACGGTCCATCCCTTGATGAACCAATAAATTTGCGGAAATTGAGATTAAATTATTTTACTTTTTGGATTGATTTTGAATCGATGACAAATTTTGTGTTTATTTTCAGTTAATGTTTCATTCCTGGTTTTTAGTACAATCAAGTCTTCCCTTTCTCTAACATGGATTCTTTAATTCCCATAAATATGTGTATAAGTTTGTGTAAATGGACACAAATTCTGGATAAATGTTAGGTCTATCTTTTAGTTACTTAATAGAAGGAAAAAAGTTGTTTTTCTTATAAGTTTTTATTGATTGATTTGTTGATTGAGATGAGGTCTTGCTGTGTTGCCCATGTTGACCTTGAACTCCTGGGCTTAAGTGATCCTCCTGCCTCAGCCTCCCAAGTAACTGGGATTATAGGTACACACCACCAAACCCACTGTAGAAATGTTACAGGATATTACAAATTATTTTTAATTGATTTACATTACTCTTTTTTTTTTATTTCAGCATGTTATGGGGGTACAGATGTTTAGGTTACGTATGTTGCCCTTGCCCCCTCTCCCCTGCCAAGTCCGAGCTTCGAGCGTGTCCATCCCCTGGATGGTGTGCATCGCACTCTTTGTGTATACATATACCCGTCCCCTCCTCCCCCCTCCCCCCTAGCCATCCAATAAATGTTATTCTTATATGTGCACTTATGTGTTGATCAGTTAATACCAATTTGATGGTGATACATTACTCTTTATAAATATTTGAAAGTATTATATTTCATAACATATAAATCAATTATATTTAGTTGAGTATAGAAGAGGAATTCTTGGGAATTGTAAATGCATTCATACTGAACAGGCATTTTTTTGAGTGCCTACTGGTGTTTATTTTTTGTTACAATCCCTAGTATTGTCTGTGTGTGTGCATGTGTTAAGAGACTGGGTCTTGGTCTGTTGCCCAGGCTGGAGTGCAGTGGTGTGATCCTGACTTATAGCCTTCAACTCTCAGGCTCAAGCGATCCTCCTGCCTCAGCCTCCCAAGTAGCTAGGACTACAGATGCACACCACCATGCCTGGCTAATTTTTAAATTTTTTGTAGAGATGGGGTCTTGCTTTGTTTCCCAGGCTAGTCTCAAACTCCTGGCCCCAAGCGATCCTCCTATTTCGGCCTCCGAAAGTGCTGGGATTACAGGCATGGGTCACCTCGCCTGGGTCCTAGTGTTGTTTTTAACACATTGACTTTGTGAAGTCTAGAATTTCAAGTCTAAGATAGTTCAGTTACTTAGTGCATCTCTTGTACAGATAAATATACTTGTATGTAATAGATACTAATATATTTCTGGAGGAGTTGCTTATTCAAAAAGTCAGGGACCATGCTCCATAAAGGAGTTCTGTTATGAATGTTTTTTGCAAAGTGAATAAATAACCTTCACACTACTTGAAAATAACTTTTTTGCTGGATTATCCTACCAAAGTTCCTTCAAGTGATGGTGTGGCTGAATAAGCAGTGAATACAACTAATTTAGCCTATTTGTGGATACTGAGACTATAATTTCTGTTTCCTTTTATTCTTGTTGAGGCTTCTGCACCAAGAAAACTTGAACCTACTGAGGATGAGAGGAAAATCCGGTTATCTCAGCTTATTTCTAACAAGGTAGTTCTTCTTTTAGTAACTACTAGAATCATAAACTCACGTGAAGATCTACCACCAGGAACTCAGCTTCTACTGCTTAAAAAAAATCATATATGCTAAGGCATCTTTGTGTGCTTAGCATCAACAAGAAGCTGTCTGATGTTAAATGTTATTAAAAAGTCAGAGGAAATTTGCATCTGGGCTTGTCCCCATTGTAGATGTTTACAGAGTTCCACAGAATCACGTATCTGTACGTGTACCGAGTTTGCATTTACATTAGTTATTTTGTATGTTGAATTTCTTAAAGGTAGCCACAGAATTTTCACATCTAAATTTTAATTTACTATATGTAGCCGGGTAATTTCCTACAGTTTGGTATTTATTAAGCCCCCCACCATCCTCAGCCCCTCCCCACCCCCACTCCTATTATAGCACACACAGAGGTCAGCTGTGGTCTGTGCCTAGGTGTGTGCTGCCAACAGATACAGATGTAGGTACGAAATATTGTACCCCGAAGCAAGGCCCATGCATTCAAAACTTTGGTGTTGGTATCAAAAAATCTTTTTCTTTTATAAAAGAGTGGTAATAAGATAGTCCACATGTAATTATTAAATTTTGTGGAGAACTGGTTTATGGACAAATAGTGTGCAAAAATAAATTTCCGTTAGGTCAGTTTGATTGATACATTGTTTCAGTAGTTTAACATTCAAATCATATGGTCCTCTGTCTTCAACTCTTTTAATCCTGTCCTAATTTCTTACTCATAATTCAGTTTCAATCTAAAATTACAAAATAAATGAAATAGATTTCATTAATTTGTTATTTTAAAGTCCTTTCTCATTTTGTTCTGTGTACCTCATTTGAAAGTAGAAGTTTATTAGGTTGTCATTTATGAGGTATTGTACTTTATTGCCCCTATACTTATTTATTTTGTAGAAATGTATTTGATTTCTACAACCTGTGAAGTGAATAAAAATATTCTAATTTTGCCACCCCTTGAATGAAATGGTTGGCTGTCACATCTGCTAAAAAGAAAGCAATCAGATCTAGTTCTTTAGATTCTGTTTAGAAATTCACTTTTTCCATGAGATATATATACCCTGATTACTGTGAGTTGCAGCATTTATTAGTTCTTAAGATGCCCCAGTATGTAAACTCTCCCTCTATTTTTGAAATATGAATTTACATTAAAAACTGCATGTATTTTAATGAGGAAATGGTATCAATTTCAATATTTAGGAATTGTTCTTAAGCACAGGTGGCAACTTCTAGAAAATGGGATTGATTTCAGATGGGTCCCCTTACCATCCCACTGGAGGGGTGTGTGTTGGGGGGTGGTATGCATGTGTGCCTAATCCCACTTCAGACTCTGAGACTCACACAGGAGTAAGGAGCCAAACTATTAAACCATCAATGCAGGAGCCGGTAGATATTTTGTTTTTGCCCCATAGAGATATTTGAAAACCAGCTTTTCTTGGTATCGAATGTTCCCAAGCCCAACAGTTACAATTTCCAATAATTAATTGTCCCCAGGCAAAGTGACTTGATGTGGCACGAGGATCACTCAGTGAACAAGTGTTTCTTGTGTGTCAGCTATGTGCAGGGCCTGTGCTGTCCTCACTGGATGCCTGCACCAGTCTGTCTGGGAGCCCAGAGCTGGGGAGGGTTGGAGATTTCTTACAGATTTTGACACTCTTTGCCCAGGGTTCTGATTCTCCCACATGGCCTTTCTCTATGAGTGACTTCTGGTGGACACTGGTGTTTTGTCTCTTAACCTGTGCACTTACAGAAAATTGCAACTGTTTGCTGAAGTTACCGTGCTTATTTGTCAGTGAGCAATTTGCGTGCTTGCAGCTCTGTGTAAGAGAGTCTGGAGTGGGATTGGAAAGTGCTAATGCTTCGGAATGCAGGACCCTGGTGAGCTGCCGTGGCATGGCATCCAATGGGAAAGGCTTCCCCAGGATTAATTGGTGGTATCTAGTACTGTCAGTTCATTCAAATTCTGCAGAAGCTCGTCCCCCAAATACTACCATTACTAAAAATGTTCTGGCTTGGTGTTGGGGGAAGGAAGAGGGGAGCAGCCAGTTCTTTGAGGACCTTGAGCTCCCTTCAAGGGCTGCTAAAGAGATTAAAAGTGGAACTCACTGAAACCCACTGCCTTTCCCTGCATGCTGCAGGCTTTCAGGAGTGAACGAGGGTTTCACCGCAAAGTCATCTAACTCCTTGTCAAGGATTTCTGATAACTCTGTGCCTGATAATAGAAAATTTTGGGGAGCACTGAGGTGGAATAATATGTCTGGCTAGAGTGAAAAGAAGCTGGTGTTTTCTAGATAAAGTTTAAGTAATTTACTTCAAAAGTATATTTAAAAATTTACTTCTATAAGGAGTTTTGAAAAGAATTTTGATTATATGGATCAAAGTTTGTCTAAAATATTTGTTTAAAAATATTCTCCAGTAAGTAAAAGATGTCCCCATCTCCACGTCTAATCCAGCTTCTCTAATTGTGATTTCTTTGTATGTCTCATTTGCTTTTTTCAAATTACATCGAAATGTCTCTTTGTGGCTACACCAGTTTCTAAGTGACCACCAGGAAATGAGAGTTAAATATGAAGGTTTATTTCTTCTTGGGATATTTGCTTCTGTAACACTCAGTCTTACTCAGTAACGTTTCCTGATGGGGAACATGGAATGTCTCCCTTTAGTAATATGTATCATGTGTGGGCTGGTTGACTGAAATGATTTAGAATGAAAATAATCAACAGACGTGGTGTTCCTGTGAGAAAACATTTGGTGAACAGCTAGAAGGAAAATGTAGTTCCAATGCATACTTTTGCCTAAATAGTATTCATGTGCATATATATTTTAGGGATTTATAGGAAATACCCTGTAGTCTTCATATGAAGATAATTTTAGTAATTTCGCATTGCTAGGTAAGGTCTCATTCACATTTTGTTACAGTCAACAAGGTCTTAACTATAACATGTTACAAAATGAAATTTGAGATTAAAAATAAAACACTCATTGTTTTTGGATGGTGGCCTGAAGCTGTGTTCTTTAAATTTCCGAATGAACTTTTGTAGGGATGAGGGGAAATGCGTAGAAGGAATTCTGGAAATCTTTGACATGCTCCTGGCAACGACTTCAAGGTTTCGAGAGTTAAAACTCCAACACAAAGAGTATCTCTGTGTCAAGGCCATAATCCTCCTCAACTCCAGTGAGTAACCACGCAGCTGGGCTGGGTTTTATTGCTGAGAGACAGGCTGCCTCTAGAACCAGCATGGTGTTAGGAAGAGTATTGGACTTCTATTTTATTTAAAAAGGGTAAAATGTCTTCCGTTAAGAATTCTGTTTTATTTTTATAGGGATTTACACTATAGTTAACTTTGGTAATCTGAGTATAAACTATTCATTAGGTGAATGGCAATAAATTTAAAAAGTTATCTCAAGCCATTTGCGGGAAAAGAAGAAAAACGAACTTTAAAATGTTTATCTTTCAGCTTTTCTTTAATGTTTACAGAGATATTTTATATGGTTGACATGCATTTATATTTAATGTTTTGGGTTCTACTTTTTACAGATTCATTCATTCATTCGAGATACTTGAGATACAGTCCTGCCCTCAAATAGTTCATAGTGTAAGGGGGTGGGGGAGGGAGAGAAAACCAATCATTAAAAATAACCTCAGTGTGATAATGAAGTGTGCACCGAGTACTGTCTGTGGGAAAACGGGAAGAGGAGAGATGCTGGAGTGGATGCAGAAGGGAAAGACGTTGAAGGAATCTTCAGGGAAGAGCAGAGGGGGGTCGATACGGTTGCAAAATGCAGGGCTGAAGATTACAAACGCTGCTGTGGGCATCAGAAGCCTTAGAAGAGGTTCAGGCAGGGGAGCTTCCAGCACAGATACTTCTTATACAAGGTCACTCTGGCTTCCACGCCGAGGCCTTTAGAGACAATGAGAGCCTGAACTAACGGTGTGGCGGGGTCAGAGGGGAGGACCTGGCTTGAGGGGAATGTAGGAGGCAGAGGTGGGAAATGGGGAAAGTGTCTAGGATATGTGGATTGTTTAGCTTTGCTGGGTTTTTTCTTATATAAATAATACTTGGTTATTGTAAACATTCAAACAAAACCATACAAGGAAGAAAATAAAATCATCAGGAATACCTGCCCTCAAGATCACCACCGACTTTGGTGGCCATTCTTTAATAGTGCTTGCTCGTGCACGCTGCCTGTCCTTTTTCTATTCTGTGATAGTCATTTAAAGTAATAGCTCACCTCCGACGCATATTAGGATAGGGTTTCATTTTTAAAATACAAATACCTCTCCCTCTTGCTTTTTTACTTTTCGAAATGTTATGAAATCCCTCCAGGTCAACTAGGAGAGACCTAACACAATCTTTGAAATGAGGGCATTGCACTAAATTGTTCAGCCATCTCTGCATTGATGAGCCTTTACTTAATATCTAGCTCCTCTTTTTTAACCATTATAAACATTACTGCAGTAAATAGAGATGTTCTTTTGTATGCATTTCTGAGTGTCTAGGCAGTTTCCATGCTGCTCAGTTTACCGTTTACCTGGTGTTGATGCAGCTGCTATACCAGGTATTGATTGCTTTGCTTAGCCATATACTCTTGTTGGGCCATTAGGTATTGATTTTTTTCTTAGATACTATAACTATATATATCTAGGTTTTAATCCTCACCTGATGATTTATAGATACCTTTATTTGAACAACATATGGGGCTTTATTAATTAGATTTTATCCAATCCTAGAACTCAGTGCCTGAAATACAGGGAAATGTCAGATTGTATTATGCCTCTGTATTTTAGCTCAGCCAAAGCAGTAGTCCTGAAGCCAGAATTCAATGCAGAGCCTGTGGCCACGTGGGTCCTAGGCTGCCTTCTGATCCAGGGCTAGCTGGCCTTCCCCCTGCACATACACATCCCCCCTCACAGATTTGCACATTGGCACTAGTTTCGATGAGGGGAAAGGGAAACATATAGAGCAGTGATTCTCAAACTATCTGTGGTGAAAGACCAGATTTTTTTTTTTTTTT